GACTGGCTTTTAAGAACACAACCCCTCCTTCACTAAACCCAGCATCGGTGGGCAAAGGGGAGGTGGAACAATAGCTCCCTTCTCTCAGGAAGCTGAACCATTGCCGTGGGATGAGCCTGGCAAAGATTTTGCACAGTCTGAATCCAACTTTTTTTTTTTTTTTCATGGCATTTATATTTTCATTATTTATATTACTTAAAGCTTGTGTAAACTAAATTTGCCAACTACTGCGGCACAGCAAGAATTCATACAACTCAGCTCTTGCATTCTTTGCAACACCTGCCTGGAGATAAACCCCCGCCTCTCCCTGCTGCTCAGCAGCATCAGCTTTTTGGTAAGATGTCTACGTGTCTTAGAATAGGATTTCTCATTACCCAAGATTATATCAGCTCCTTCTGATAGTTTTTCACTTCGTGTTCTTAACCTTCTGTGGCTGACATCCCAGTCATCTTTGCAGCAACTGAGCTGTCAAATGGAAGGCTGAGACTGCGATGAGAGAACGTACCAGCAGGAAGAGACTGAATTTGCATGGAGCAGAAAGCTGGGGCTTTTGGGCATCTACCTGTTTACAACAGTAGAGAAACAAACAGAAAGAGCTGCATCTTTACAGTTACAAGAGTAACATTCTTGTGCCACACCAAACATATCTTCACTATAGATCCAGTCTACCTTTCCTTTATTCAACAGTCCTTTCTTTTTTTTCCTTTCTCATTAAACAGGGAAGTTGGGTTGTGAATGGCTAATGTAAAATTTTAAGAGGAAAAAACCCACAACACAAGCAAACACCTGCAAGTCTGCAATCCAAACTCTATTTTTTAAAAATCCAGGTAAGATACCAACTACATAACCGGCAGCAAAACAGCATCTTGGGAGAAAAATCTCATTATGAAAGGTGATTTGAGGGACACTAAGGCTGCTCTCTGAACTCCCTTAAACTGCAAACCCCACGTTTTTTGTTATAAGCAAGACGACAAAAAGCTCTCTCATCTATCAGTGAGATATATTTTTCCCTTCCTAAGCACGTTAGTGAATTTCAGGCTATTTCTAAACCACTACTAAATACATTCACAGCACGCACACTGTTTAGTAGCACAGTATTGCTGAAGAGCAAGCCCCTCCTCAGCAGCCCAACTGAATAAATACATATGCCAATTATGAAATCCATCGTTACCTTTTGATAGATTTTGCAGAAGATGTGACAAACTAGACATGGGCTAGACATTAGCCGTACTCCAAAATGTTATAAAGCACTCTTCTGAAGTTCCTATTATGCAAGACATTATAAAAATGAGTTTTTTATCTTAATACTACACCAGCATTGACTACCACTAATATTTTGGAAAAAGTTTAATAAAAACTACAGGTAGCCCAAACAAGGCTTTAACGTTGCTTTAGCCCTGGGCCATCACTGGGCATTCATTTCACGATATGAGATGGAGAGAGGGTACATTCCTGCTGAATTGCAGCTCTGTCTTGAAGGTAGACTTCCTGCAAGACAAACCTCCTTTTCATATATGTAACAGCAGCAAAATGCTCTCCTTCAGCCTCCAGTCTGAGAGAGTGGCTGCTCACCCATCAACAGGAAAACTCCTCCGGCACAGAGCCCCCAGAGCCTGTGAGAACTTAGCAAATTGTACAAAACCAGATACAAAATCTGTCAAACATTGGCGAGGTACCAAAGTTAAAGGTAACACAAAGCTTTGAACTGAGTATATATAAGCAAAGGCGTACTTCTTTGGGGAAAATGAGAAAAACTCGTGGATATTGTTCTAAAATCTTTGCAGGGACAAGGCTAGCAAAGATAACTTACCACCAGTCACTTGTATTTTAATCGGAGCCATCTGGATCTGCTCTAACTTTTAAATGCCGCCCTGCTAGCTACGCTAGCTTTTCCACTGGAACTACATGAATGTTAGCTTTTTAAAGTAACAAATGCTAATACAAGCAGCAAAGTGCTTGATGGCAGAAAAGGACCGAGGTCCATCTTGTTACCATGGTTTACTTATATGGAGACTATGAAGTACAATGAAAAGCTGAAAGCAAACACCGGGGTTTGTACAGTACAACTCCAATTGTGATGACACCTACAGGGTGATGGCTACATATTGTTAGAAGTGGAAAGTCTCAGATTACTCTTTTGGGAAAGCCAAACCTGAATGAAATACAAATAATTAGCAGGAAAACATATTTAAGTGATAGAGTAAAAACTAGAATAAGCAAATTTCCCACCAGGTAAGTATCAGTAATTTTTATTAAACTCTACTCTTACCTCCAGATTTAAAAGTTTGGCTAAGGAAGTTATCACAGCGCTTCCAGTAAAACCATCTAAACTGGAAGTTTACCATTCCCTCCTTTGGTTGTTTTAGAATTTCCTGAAGAAAGACACAGTCCACCTAACGTATAAATCGACGTATACTTGCCTGTGAAGGAAGGAGCTGGCTGGTGCCAGTTACCCTAGCCTAGCAGCATAACAGCTAACTTCATTTTGCTCCTGCCTGCCCTCCTCCCCACTACCACTGGGAAAGCATCCAGACTTCTCTGCTAGGGAGCGAAGGAAAGAACTCGCAGAGACTGGAGCATTCAGGAAGGACTCAGGTGGGGGAAAGAAGTGGTGAAGAAAAGCCCACAGGTGGCTTGTCAGTGGGCAAGCGTGTGCATAGGGGGACATGCGGGTCCCCGTCTTTGCCCAGGGGAGGGGAGGTGGCAGCCTCCCTCATTTGTGTCATGAGTTCAGCCCCAAAAGACGCAAACTCCTAGCAATAGTTATATAGACAGAAATTCAAGTAGCACCCTTTTGCCTTACACACACCTAGACCCCTAGTGTAAGCAATTTCAGCAGAAGATGAAAAAAAGACAGGAGCAACTGTTCTCCCCTGCACAAAGCAGGGATCAGTCAAGTGATTAAAAATTTATTCCCACCCTACACATGGTATCCAAAGAAACAATACATACAAATATCTATTTATCCCATGATTACACAAGCCTCCTGGGTTTAATATTTTGAACCAGATGACAAAGTTCAAGATACTTTATTTGTTAGATACAACAAGTAAATATCAAAGAGAGCTCTTGAACGTATGAAAAAAATCGTGTCACTGAAGTGACCTCCACGACTTACACATTCCAGCAACAGACTGTATTTATAATGTATTGTTTTAATGATTGTTAACTTTCTCTTGCAGATCTGCTCCTCTCCTTAAAGAGTCTTTTGTATTTTCAGAGACGGTTGTTTTGTTCATTCTACCACTTTTATTTACATCAGTCTCATCCCAAATTTTGGTGTCACACAGGCTTCAAATTCAGTTGTTGCTTTCTAACTGTAAGAGCCTTTACAGTCTACCTACATTTTAGAAGAAATTGTGCACAGCACAAATTGACACAAATGGCTTTCTCAGTGTACGTACTGAAGGGTATGCATCCAGAGATTTGTCCTATCTGAACACATCTTCCAGTAGTCCAGGCTGAATTTTAAAACTAATTATAGATTTATAAAAACGTATACAAAAAATTTTCCTTGCACCAGTACAATGTCTAAGACACGGTTGGTAAAGATGTGAAATTATTCAGGTATCTGTAACTCTGAAATAATATAGAGTATTATGGTGTAAACTTGGGTCACACAGAGAAAGAACTTTTTTTTTAAAATCAAGAACTCTGTAACAGAATAAATAATTTACAAGCTTGACAAGATCTGCATTGTTTCTTACACAAAGACTTCTAACCTCTATTGTAAAAAAAGCCTAGAGGAACTAAGTATCATTTCTGTCGGTGGCTGTAAAACATAAATACCTTTTTTTGTTCCAATAATTCCCCTCTTTAAATCTGCTAGAGGTAGATGAAGATAAAACAAACCCCGAAATGTAAGGATTAAGATACTGCAAATAAATTCTAACCCTGCAAATCTAGCGAACATATGTTCTCACCAGATTTACTGAAAGCGGTTATTTTTTCTTTCTTTTTTTAAACAGAACAGCACCCAACTTCTTACTTCCACGTTGTCAAAATCAGCGCTCGATACTGGCATGAAATAATTTTCAAAGTGTTCCCGAATTAGAGCAGAAGCAGGTCCCTCCTCACGCTCTTCAGTCACTTTGATGAGGTTTCCAGGGCCTGTCTCTGCCGAGGAACTGCTGCTGCCCGGCACTGCCCAGGCAGCCCCTGCGCCTCCCCCCGAAACAAGAGGGGACAAACCTGCAGCTCCCACCGAAAGGAACTCTCAGGGAAAGGTGTGGGAGTGAGGGAGGTAGGGGCTGGAGGCAGGGAGAGAGAACTGGGAAACCTTAACATCCATTACAGATGGTGACCTTTCTGAAGATTTCGCCGAGAATATTTTTAGCATGGGCGTCTGCACGCACGGGCTGCAAAATATTTGGCTATTACCACAAAATTGGAGATTTTATTAGGTTCAGGAGTATGTACAAGATCTCATGTAAAGCCTTGGTTTCGGCATAGAGAAAATTATAAAGCAGTAATAGAATTTTCTAAAACATGAATGACTTCTCACGTTTTTCTTTTGGTCCATCAGGACATTAACAATTAACTGTTTAGATCTGATTTCCTACTTTCCTATAGCTTGGCCTGTGGCTTCAAGTTTTCCAATGTCTCCCCTAGTCTCTCTCCACCTGTAATTTTATCTACTTTGTTCAGCCAAAAACCTATCAATGTGTTGAAGCCTAACATACGTAAGAAACCGTACAAGAAATAGGATTGAGCTCAGCAGCCCTTTTAAAACCACTGAGCAAAGTACGTTGCCTCTTCATCGTTCACCAGACAAAAAGGAGGAAGCATCATCACACACCAGAACATCTGCATAAGAGTGCTTCCAAGTTTCTTCACAACAGTAATACTGGCATGATCACAAAGACAAGATTCCTTTTCTTTCTTTCTCTCTCTCTCTGTATTATAAATGTAGCCATCATGATCTCATTTGGTATGCAAAAAATATAATTACTTCAGTACAATTTCCACAGCAATTTGAAGTGAGCCTTTTTCTCTTTTAAGTTACCATTTAAATTTAATGAAAATGATAGGACAGATTGCGATGGCAAACCCCAGCATTTTACATAATTCAGTTCGTTCGGTTTAGTTACAGAATAACGATCCTGGCGGTTAAACTAAACCCACAGATCTAAATAAACGAGGCAATTTCGTGCATTCTAGAATCAATGCATTTTTAAATACGTGTTTTCCTTCACAATATTACTAACCTCCAGAACCCTTTGCTTTACGGACGCTGAACCAATTTACTCTTATTGCTCTCCTGCTCGCTAAGCTTGAAGTGGGTGTAAGCCAAAATGCCCAGCAACGTGCACAGAATCCCAAGGCCTTGATTAACAGACAGTGGATCCTTAAACAAGAGGCACCCTCCCAGGAGGGTGATGCAGAACTTGAAATGTCCGAACATGTTATACCTAGACATCTGTTAAGGGTAATAGCAAATATTGGTATCGCCTGTAAACAGAAACAACTTGGGAACTTCATTAATTACATCCAAAGCATGCAACAGTACATCACATTGACTTCAACTCATGCAACTTTCCTGCAGTTAAAGACCCACGATAAAGACTCTCCACCTAGAGACCCATCGTACACTACAAACCAACTGGCAGGCCAACGCTTCCTCCAAGTACGGGCAAATATTTTTTATAGGTATAAAGGTCACACCAATAAGTTAACTGCCATCATCTCTACAAACCCCGAACAGAGAAACAATATGCGCTAAAACAAGAACGTGCTTTTCCAGCTTCATCATTTAAGATAAAGCAGGCAGGTTACCAAACAGCTTTCCCACAGTAAATCAGCCCGAATGAATGTTAAGGTAATTCACCTGGAAACAGGAGAAACAACTAATGTTACAAAGGATACGTGACAGGTGACGTATTTCCAATGATCCAGTAAATGGACAAGTTTACCATAAAGGCTATTATTCCAGACAGTAGTACCATTATCTGTGGATTAATGGACAGAGTCAGTAATCTGACGTGATTCTGGCCATTTGGAGATACATTTCAGGTTATTTAGTTTCCTTTACTTTCAAATGCAAAATATCAGGCAAGAAAAACATAAGGAGAACAAAAATAGAAACAGCTTCAAATCAGTACAGACATTGGTGAAGTGTATAAGTAGCTCAGGCTATGATGTCCATAAATATATACTGATGTAACCACAAGCCTTTTCTCTCAGTGAACATTTAAGAGTGATTTGGAAAATCAGGCTACTCATACACATAGAGATTGCAATCTTTACCTTTGAGAGAAAGTCTTATTTATGGTCACAACAAAAACTATTTTGGAAAAATATCCCATTTTATTATTATGAATACTTGCTGTCCCATTCATAAACTCCAGTGCTACAAGAAATGACCCTGAACAGCAGCGGTGTGAATATGCCACTGGCTCTTTTTTGGACAGAAGGATAGAGAGAGAAATTACAGCCTTCTTGGTGAAAATAAACCAGCAATTCTGAAGAGCCACCAATACTGGCATCCCTCCGCAGAAGAGGAGTTAAGAGTGTCGAAAGTGAGCATGCTTATCTCTTTTCTGAGTGGACAGTAAGAGCTGGAACCAGGGCACTTACATATTTTTTTAATTTAATACACTAGGGGAAGCTTCTGGATTTTGTCAAATTTTCCTGTTGTTCAGATGCCCTCTAAACAGAAACAAGAATAAGGAGGTAAATCACTTGACAGACAAGACTCCACTGAGAGGAAGCAGGGGAGGCACAAACAGGTTGCTTTGAATTTTGCACATGCCCATCTCGTCACAGTAAAAAACCGGACAAAAATCTGTTTCACCAAGAAACAGATTTTACGATCAAATCAATCGTAAATCAATCAATGATGATTATTTATTTAAATAAAGTCAATAAAAGCCTTACCACAGCAGAAAGCGTCCAGGGCCCAAATATTCCTCCTTCTCCAAAGACTGGCTCAAAGAAGGGTATGATGAACAGCAACATAGCTGAGGACATTGGTGCCTGATAGTACAGCAACTGCATAGAGTTTACCTGCAACTCATGCTGCTTTGCTCCTACCCACTAAAACCAAAAGAGAAAGGTGTTAAATGTGAGGGGAAAAAAAAAACAGAAATGGAAAATTTGAGCAAAAGTAAACTGGCTACATATACAAAGGTAGTCTGATGTGGACAATACCACATAAAAAAAATTGTTGAGCATGACCTTCTACCTTTGCCCAACTGGAGGCCTGTATGTTTGTCTCTTGCAAGCACACAAGCCGTGTGAGCAGAAAATCACACGCAGGGGCAATGAAAAGCCCCTGAGTGCCTAAACCTTCCTTTTCCTATAGCTTGGGGGGAAAGTATTATATATATAATTTTAATATATTCTATATATTGGGGATGTTGGTGGATGAAAAGCTGGACATGAGCTGGCAATGTGCGCTGGCAGCCCAGAAAGCCAACTGCATCCCGGGCTGCATCAAAAGAAGTGTGGGCAGCAGGTGAAGGGAGGTGATTCCCTCTGCTCTGGTGAGACTCCACCTGGAATGCTGCCTCCAGCTCTGGAGCCCTCAGCACAGGAAGGACATGGAGCTGTTGGAGTGGGGTCAGAGGAAGGCAACAAAGATGACCAGAGGGCTGAAGCACCTCACCTATGAGGACAGGCTGAGTGAGTTGTGGTTGCTGAGCCTGGAGAAGTCACTGGGGAGACCTTATAGAAGCCTTCCAGTACCTGAAGGGAGCCTACAGGAGAGATGGGGAGGGACTCTTTATCAGGCAGTGTAGTGACAGGACAAGGGATAATGGTTTTAAACCAAAAGAGGGTTGATTTCTATCAGATATCAGGGAGAAATTTTTCATTGTGAGGGTGGTGAGACACTGGAACAGGTTACCCAGGCAATAGGTGGATGCCCCATCCCTGCTGGATGGGGCTTTGAGCAGCCTGGTCTAGTGGGAGGTGTCCCTGCCCCTGGCAGGGGGGTTGGAACTCGATGATCTTTAAGGTCCCTTCCAACTCAAACCATTCTGTGATTCTATTACACTTGAGGAAGAGCAAAAGAGTAACAGAGCTGGGAAGAAAATGCCAACTCCCTTTTATTCTCAAGACAAATTCCAGATCCTGTTTATGACGGCGCTGAGCACCTTTGCCTAAGCAGAGAGCTGCTTCTGCTCCTTTTCTTCTCATTTTCCTTCAAACACAAGCTAACAAAATCAGTGAATGTTTAGCTTTCTTTCGCCAGTTTATTCCAATTTACTGAATTTCACTTCAATACTGACTATGATCGACTATAACTTGCATTTTCAATGCAGCATACTTTAAGAGACAACATTAGTTATCTACAGTTATCAAGAGAGATGTTATGAGCAAAAAGATGCATCTTTCTGTTGTAGAAAATGACATTTACTTTAATAATTCATAAACCACATGAAGTGGTAATATGGATTCCAGCATATAAACTTGCTAAGTTGTTTTTTTTTTTTTCCTTTTAATTACAGATTAATTTCGCTGGGATGCTGTCATTTCTCCAGTACACACACCATCACTTAAAAGTTATTTTAGCATCTCCCTCCTCCTCCTGCCCCAAAACAGAAAAAGAGACCATTATTTATCACCTGGCACACTACGGGTCAAAGAGCGTCGCTTATTTTGGAGGCACGGTACATCCCTTACAATGAAATTCATGTTTAAATTGACCATGACTATAATATCAACATGACAGGGGACTCTTAATTTGGGAGGCTTCTTACAGTCATGGATGATAATGATCTGATTGTGAGCTGTTAGTACAATGTTATTAGCCAAAAGCACTAAGGTAGCTCTTGGACATACCTATTTTTTCAATCATAATCAGCCAGACAGGTTCGATCGCATATATACACACAGAGACAATATTATTAATTATACATGTTAATGCACCCTCTACACCTTAGATTGTGTATAGCCGAAATTGAAGGAGGATACTGATAAGACATATGTAGCCCAAGGATAAACCATGGGATTAACTGAAGGACCGGAAAATGCCCTTTCTAGGGAAAGGCTCAAACGCAAGGCACTTGCTTCAGCAAGGAGAAAAAATCTGTGCTCTCTAGAAAAAACAGAGTTTCACCGACAGAACGACCTTCACCCCTTGAAAAGATGCTCAGCAGCACGTTAGAGACGACACCCTGATTTTTTTTTGAGCAGCAAGGACGGTCGATTCCTTCAACACTACAGCGAGGGTGTGTGTGTAGGACTATCACGATTCGGGGTTTGTTTAAAACTAATTAAGGGAGCACAGAAGGTTTCCTGAGAGGAAAGGCGCTACCCAAAGGGTGATCTAACCGGAGGCACCAAAGCAGCTTGAAGACCACCACCACAAGGCTCTTGCTATACCATCCTCCACTGCAGACATTTTTGAGGTCTGCTCCACAAGAGAATACATGTTGATGAAGCCTTACTGACTGATTTTACTTCATGCAGAAAGAGCTCTCCCTTCCTAAGAAAAGCCTCAGCACTCTCCTTGTGCTAATACAATTGATTTTACTTGTGAATTACAAAGTCACCCTTCTGCCAGTGTCAAATGGCTCTGTACTTTTGAGAGCATAGCTTTGGCAATACAGCTTGTAACATCCAGCTTGCAGCGTGCACAGTTAAACAACAATGCCAGTGGCCAGACAAGTAGTCTGGAGCATTTACGAGAGGCATTGCTAGCATCTGGAGTAGCCTCAACTTGAAACCTTGAAGACTGAGTAGTTTCCCTCCAGGAGTCCCCTGCCCTCACAAACAGGGCCATGTTATCAATCTTGGATGTGTATTCCAAAGCCCACTTTGGAAATGGATTTGCTGAGGAGTTTCCTCCTTTCTTTGAGATTAAATCTCCCCCAAATCAGGCATGGGTGTGTATTCCTCCTGAAATAAACTCTTGTACCTTGCTAAGTCCTCCTTCTGAAGAGCCACATTGCTTTCCTGGCTATCCAGTCTGCATTTTTCTTTATCTATACGCCCTTCAGGTGGATCCTGATCAAATGTCACCTCACCATCTAATCGCTTGCACGCAACTGCTTGTTCCCAAGCAAGAAGAGAAGTTTTTATACCGTCCAGTTGCCTGCCCATGACTCAGTACTTGTTTAAACACAAACATGAAACAACAGCATCTAAATAAGGAACACATTCTTGCCACCGAAACAGAAAGTTTCTCTCTGTGGATGGAGGAAACGGTAGTAACACTAGCACAGCGTATGGGAGGAACCTGGTGCAGTTTTGCTGTGAGGGGGTTATACCTGTGCTGGTTCTGTCATCTTTCAGTGACCATGGTGGACTTTTCAGACCAGTACACAAAACCTGACATTTTGTCCACCTGGGGAAGCCTATAAACTCTGATGTGCACAGAGAGCCTGGGGCATCCTGAATGATAATCAGCAAATCAACCCCAGACTCCAGCTGAGACCCAAACCAAGTAGAGGACTGAATCCATGTGCACCTAATGGTGTGTTTGTGTGCACTGCATTGCTTTTATGTAAACAAGCAAACCCAAACCACCGCATAACTTTATGTCCAGACAGTGGTTGTTCAATCCACTTCAAAGCGGTGGCTGCATTTGGTCTGACTGAAAGACTCTCTTATGGGAAAGACTCAGAAGAAAAAAGCAGGTTTTTTCTGGTCGAGAGCCTGTGCATGTATGTACAAGAATGACAGGCTGGCAGAGTGGAAAATAAATTCATCGATGAATCCCAGACAGCTAGAGACAAACTTGTGCCGAGTTTTCCTTTTACCTGGCTGGCAAAGTAGCCTGTGAGGCAGCACTTTACATCTCAAGCATATTGAGCTTTACGCAGAAAGCAGGCTAGACTGGAGGAGCAGTCTTCTTGAAGCATATGGTCTTGTGATCTTTTAAGTTTGCATACCATATTGAATATGCAATAGATTTTTTTTTTTATTATTTGTTATGTTTCCAGTGATATATTAGTATTCTGATTTAAAAAAAAAGATTCGAAGGGAAAGGTTTTTACACATGACATATACAGAAGTTCTTTAACTGCCCTAACATCCAGACAGCCTACTTGTGATGTAACTGTAGTGGGCCACACATTCTGCTCCCATCTGAGTGATCTTTTCCCAGGTTGCTTTTTCTAGCAGTAGTTGGAATTGTAGGGTGTAGATTTCTGAAGTCTCTCAGAACTTGCATCCTTCATATTTATGTATGGCTGATTGTGTGGCTGATTTCCTCCAGTCCACACATATAGCTCTTCTGTGTTTGCATCACCATAAAGAACCTAACTAGTTATTATAACTAGAACAGCGTGGTGAGTAGGACTCAGGAGGTGGTTGCCCCCCTGCACTCGGCACTGGTGAGACCCCACCTTGAGTACTGTGTCCAGTTTTGTGCCCCTTACTACAAAAAAGGCATTGAGGTGCTGGAGCGGGTCCAGAGAAGGACAACGAGGGTGGTGAGGGGTCTGGAGATTAGGTCTTATGAGGAGCAGCTGAAGGAGCTGGGGGTGTTTAGCCTGGAGAAAAAGAGGCTGAGGGGAGACCTTATTGCTCTCAACTACCTGAAAGAAGGTTGTAGAGAGGTGGGGGTCAGTCTCTTCTCCCGAGTCACAGGTGATAGGACAAGAGGAAATGGCCTCAAGTTGTACCAGGGGAGGTTCAGATTGGATATTAGTAAAAATTTTTACACTGGAAGGGTTATTAAGCATTGGAATGGGCTGCCCAGGGAAGTGGCTGAGGCACCATCCCTGGAGGTATTTAAAAGACAGGTTGACATAGTGCTTAGTGACGTGGTTTAGTGATGGTTTTTTATCAGTCAGGTTGATGGTTGGACTAGGTGATCTTAAAGGTTCCTTCCAACCTAGACAATTCTATGATTCTATGATCTTGCTCTCCTTTTACAATAACCTGCTGGGATTATCCAAGTACCTTATCAATATGACATAATCCTATTCATGCACATTAAGGATGTGATAAATGCTGTTTATTCACTGATGCCCTTAATGGCTGTTTGACCTGTTGCTTCCATTGATCTTCAAGGTTCGTCCCTTGCTCTCACAAAGGCTACCAAAAACATTTAGGCTACAAAAGCATTTAGGTTCCACCTGTGCATCAATTCTATCAATTTCCCATTATTCAGCTATTCACAGTACATCTCACAGCCCCCTTTGTCCTATTCAAATGTCTGGTAAGAAAGGGCTGGGAAAGTAGGGACTAAACTTCATTTCCCAGAATTAATGGACTACTACTGTGAAGGGAGACCAAAGCAGGAAATATTTCTGTGCTAGAATAGAACAGGCAAACGGCCTTCAAGATCTTGGAGATCTAAAGATCTTTACAAAAATTATTAGTCCTTCAATGGCAACCTAACATAGAGAAAAATTCTTCTTCTGTGGAAGATGATAAGACTGGGTGCAAGGGGTTAAGCATGAGGCATCCAGACTCTTCCAAAGGCCCGGACAACTTTAGGATGCTGAGCTGGCTAAGAAGACAGCTGGGTGTTCCTGGGGGCAGTTCTGTGGCCCACCGAGATGCAGCGGGCAGTTCTCCTGCAACAGCCTTGATGATTTATCTGCTTGTGCCAAGCTGGGTGCCCTGGCCCTGGAACAGGACAGTCACAGGAATCAAGGGAAAAGGTCTCATGCATGTTTTCTGCTCTCGCAGCTGCAGTAAGAAACACAAAGAAAGTGGCATTTTTGCATTCTGGAATTCGGGTGCCAGGTGACACTTGAGATGACCAGCACTGTCTTGAGCTTCTTTTTTACATTCACCGCTGAATTTCTCCACTTTGCTACCAGTACTTGCATATTCTTTGTCTCCTTCTCCCTTCCGTGTCATTTCTGCTTTTCAGATTTTGTTACTATTTCCACATTATGTTTAATATATATACTCTCTAGACATAAAAAAAATAGTTTCATACAAGGAGCTGGCAAACTATTCTGAAAACGCTCTTGTGTCCTCATTTTTGGTAATTACATGTGAAAATATTTGTAGAATTGGACCAATGAAGAAGCATATAGCAAGAGGGTTTACTCCTTTTTTTTTAAAAGTGTTTTAATATCCATATATTTCATACCCTGCTTTTCTTCTTTTATTGTAGAGTTTCAGTTTTTCGTAGCTGCCACCTGAAAGCCACCTGGTACTGGTTTCCAGTCCGTGGCATGTTTTAGCCCTAGGAGGACCCGAATGGGTCCAGCTGCACTAGAGAAACTCGAACAAGACAAGTAGTTCTTGTAGGTGACTTGTTTGTGTTACCAGAATAATTTATTATATATATATATTTTTTTTGCTAAATATGAAACAGGAAAAGCAAGGGGGATTCCCCACCCCAGCTGCTCTACAAATTGAAACCTCTTTCTAGGTACCGGTGAGCAATACAGATCAGGATACTATCCAGAGTGTTTATCAGGAAGGAAAGGTTTGGAAAGAGAGAAAGGGGAAGTATTAATCCAAATGTTATGTGTCTTTTTAAAGGGTGTGTGTGCCGTGAAGCTTGTTTTTCTGCCACCTCCCTTGGCTGGCCTGGCAGACACCGCCCCCGTTGACAAGCCTTCAGCCTTGCACCGTGCTGGCGTTGGAAGGAGGTTTCTCAGCGGAGGGCTGGTGGCGGTTCTGCCATCTGGTGGAGAAAAGGGGGTTTTGCAGCTACGGGACACAAATGGAAATAGATCTTGGAAATAAATGGAGAAAGCTTCCAAAAACCCACTGATGCCGCTGGAAAAGCAGGACACAAACTAAACTCTGACTGCAGATGAAAAAGCCACGCAAACTATTGTTCTGTGCTTTGTTTAGTTCCATTGAAGTATTTATATCTCAGTTATCTCTTGCCACCAGAGAAAGAAAGTGCATGGACTTTTTGGCATTCCTTCATTCAGCTGGTTTCACAGGGTCCATCTTAGTTTAATCAACCCTGTCATTTAAAAATAATCTTTTTAGCTGTCATAGCTTTGATTCCCTGCATTTTTTCTTGGAAGGCTCTTCTGCCTTTTTTTTTGTGTACCTGGAGAGTTATGCAGGCACCGGGCTGTGACTTCTGACCCACCTTACTTATCTTAACACCGTGTTGTTCAAATACGAGCCAAGGCCAGATGGGACACAGCACACTTTGAGAGAAACACACCACAGTAGCGGTACTCACAAGGGAAAAATCCCAAATCCACCGTTGTGGGGTATGTAAGATATTGCTGCATCCTGACTTGGCTGTCAGGAGACAGGCTGCAGTTTCCTCGCACAAGTAAAACATATCCAGAAATGCACTGCAGTGAGATATCTGAGAGCACAGGTCTTCTGGCTTTTCATGCCACAATACAGAGTTTCAAGAAGATTTATAAGAATACTTCTCCCCATATATCTATTGAAGAAGGTCTGGTAGAATACAGACCATCCCTTTTTGCAGGTAATTGCTATCCTGATCTTTAACTCATTTGATCCAGGAGCTGCCACAATATCTATTTTCTTCTTTCTTCCCCGATGGGATGTAAGTAAAGTCAAGTTGCCCAAACCATTGACTTTTAGGCCTGTCTTACTTTCTTCTAATCCCTAATCAGTTATCTGCTAAACCTGCTCTGCTCAGAGAAACCTGTCAGTGCTGGGCCTTGCTGAGCTGCACAGCCACACTAAAATGGTTGTGTTTAATGGTGAGATAAGTGACAATTCAGTGTGCATTTCTTTGGTACGCATGCTTCTTCACAGAGATCTCTTCCCATCTACCTCCTCCCTCCTCTTGCTGCCACTTCTCTTATACTGGCACAAATACTTGCCCTGCTAAGGCATACACAGCTGTGGTAGGTGACAGGTAGGCAG